GGGGGGGGGGGGGGGGGGGAGGGAATGAGATTCGGTCATCTGTAAAAATTCGCGGGATTCGATTGGCGAACACGGCTTTTATTTGTGCTCTTCATAATTGACGAAAGGCACCGAGGATTTTCGTTCGCGTCCGAATCGATAAGAGTATCCTCCTCCGGTATTGGTCGCTTTTGTAGCTATTATGTCTACGGGTAGACGTCTCGCGTCGTGGCATCTTCAGCTTCGCGAATCGCCCTGTGCACTCGGGGTCATCGTAATCGTCAGGGCAGCGCGTGACTCGATACGGTCACGGTGCGTCAGCCGATTAATTGATAAATCAGCATTTACGAGCGGAGCGGGCTCGTAGAAACCGCAGCTCCGTGACCGGAGATACTCTATTCAGTGTCTGGCCGCGTGATTTGTCGCGCGTTGCGATTATTCACGTACAAAATGCGCAATAAAACATTTCAATTCCATTGTCTCCGGCACGGACCTGCGAGAGAGTTCTACCCGGGCCCAGAAACGCATCGCTCTTACAAAAAGTAGTCCTGCAGAGATACACGTGTCGAAAAGTAACTCGCAATGGATTCCACGGGGAGTACGCGAGAACGATGAGCGGGCGATTTCTTAATCCGCCCGGCGCGATTTCAATCCGATGCGTATTAACGCAACGAATAAATTCGCGTTCGGTAGTAGCTTGAAAAATGGATCCGCATCGTTCGGAGACACGGCGGAACAAAATCAAACTTCGACTTGGGGCTATTTCCGCGCCATGCCCCGTCGCGGATATCGATAATAATTCATAGCCGGTCATTATTAATCGAACGCGCAAGGAACGCGAGATGAAACGCGAGGCGCGTGTGTACTCACGCGCGCGCGCGCGCGATTTCCGGGCCCGCTAGCGGAGCGTGACGGCGCATAATTACGAAACGTTAATCGGTTAATTAATAAGTAAATACCTACGAGCGCAACGGCCGTTAATAATTGGCGAGGGACCCGGACCGCGCCGCGTAAACGATATACGGATGATTAATAATAACGCAATCTCGCGTGCGCGAGCGCGCGTCTGCGTTTTAATAGCGCGGCGGCGCCGCCGCCTGGCACGCAATTCGGCGGGGCATTCGGGATCGGCGGGGCTATGTCAGGAATTGTAATCCGTTTTCCGGAATCTCTTCCCCCGTATTTCCGTGTTCCCGTCCGGATTACCGGCGCGTCAGGGATGCCGCCTTAGCGACCGTCCTCTTGTCTCCTTCCGTCTTTCCGCTCTGTCAAGTGCGCTCGTGTCGTTACGCTGACGCGTATTGTGAAAGTGTTTTATGCAGACGCAGTGGGCTGGAACATCGTAGAACCGCTCTACGGACGGACGGAGAGTTTCAAAGTTGTTTGTACGATCCATTAGTGACTACGCTCGGAGGACACGATATCCACTTTTGGGAAATAAGATCCGGGAAATAAGGGGTCTATCGTGGAATCGTTCCGAAAGGTTTCCGAGCGGAATTGCTTGGTTTTACGTCGGTTGTCGTATTATGGATATCCCGGACGATCGAAGGACCAGCGACACCTCGGCGCGAGCGAGCGGAAAGTGACTGATTCCAATCGCACGGAACTTACGGAGATTTGGTGTGTCCTGACTGGTGAGGAATATTTTCACTTATTTTTGTAGCCACGACTAGCTGATTTCAAAAAAAAGAGGGGAACTCACAATCGAATCAGTTACTATTTGGAGATTCGCGATTCCAATCGAAATCGTGAACCCCCGTAAGTTTCCCAGATCGGTAGTACCGGTCCTGAATCTTATTCAATAGTGGTATAATAAGTGTGTTTTGGGGGATATTTCTAACATGATCCTATTTGATACAGTTCATGACCGTAAGTCGAATAACAGTTCAACAGAACTCAGAAACCTCGAAGGAAACCCCCACCGCAGATTAGCATAAAGGGTCAGGCGAGCGCAGTTGTGACGTATAGTCGGTCCAACTGATTAAGACAATTTCCGCGTAAGCAATGCGCCGTTTCTCTCGGGATCAACTGAACCGAACGGAACGATCAGCTTTCGAATGGACCATCTCGCGACGACGCGTTTGGCAATCCCAGCGCTACCTCGGAGCGCAAGGACGATCTCTCTCGCTCATCTGCATCCCACGTAGTCCCGGGGGTGGCAGTGATAACCCGGTATCAATGCCGGTTTCAGGGGTCGTTCGCCAGGTGGCGATACCTCTCGGAGTGGAGAACTATGATGGCTGCCAAGGTTTTCAAGCTCCGCCTCTGGTGAATGCCGGGCACCGCCCGGATGGTTTCCTCAGCAACCATCAGGTCGGCCATCATGCCGTTGCGACCTACCACAACTTTCCCCGACTATGGACGAGTGGTTTCCCCCACTCTACGCCAGCCATCCTACTCCTCCTCCTCCTCCCCCCACACAAACGTTTCTCTGCCCCTCTCAACCCCTTTCTGATCCCCACTCCGAGAGTGAGAGAGAGAGAGAGAGAGAGAGCTCCCAGCGTGGTACCAGACCCGTGTCTGTTCCAGACGGAGATTAGGAACTGGGCGGCTTCGTTCCGCTAATCGTCAACCGCAATTACGGTCCTCGTAATTATAAAATATTAATAGCAGTAATAAAAACAACACGGAGTTGTGTACGAAGGACTAGAAAACAGCCCAAAGCTGCCGAATCCTATACGGAGGATATCCCGATAAAACAGGGAAGTGTTAACGTTCCTCCCGGCGTATATTTTCAGATGAACAGATACGGTCACTATTTTCGCCGTTGACGTTAGTGATTGCCGATTTACAAGAGTGACCGTTAAGAAAAATAAAATGGGAGATGAAGAAGAGTTTTCTGACAAGACGATATAACCTTAACAATTACGAATTGGTGCAAGTACAATAGGTCATAATGTTCAGGTTGCATCAGTAAGGTGTAACAATAGGTAGTACGATTACAATTATCTGACGTACGCGATACATGTAATATCGCGCGGTACACATTAAACGGATAACGGTATTAAGTGCAGGAACGTAAAAATAAAAGAGCTAACACGCGATCGGTCGCGCCGGTGAAAACCGTTTATTATTGCCCGTTACATCGAGACTCAGACAAAAGAAGAAAAAGGTGGGAGGGGGTGGCAAAGGATGATTATTGAATTTTATTACACGCTCAGTGATATGAAATCCCCCAAGAACACTCAGCAATAAGTACGAAAGAATTATACAATGTGCAATTCTAAAGAAAAGAAACGAATTGTGTTCTTCTAAATTCGTCAAATTTAGACTCTAAGTAATCTCTGTTCTCGTATTCGCTACGAAATAATCAGTTTTCGCTCACTTTTTATATGATTCCTGTTCTTTAATGATTTCTGATTACAGTTCGCCTCGGAGAGCCATGTTTTTGGTGCTTGATATTATATTTGTACGTCAAGTACAGAGCAAATTGCTGTTAAAACTGGCCGTCACTCGCGGTAAAATTAACAGAGTTAATCAGATATTTCAGCTTTAGCATTAATAATTTCATTCAATTAACGTCGTGGACGATACCGCATTTAAGTATATATTTAGGAAACTAACGACGTCGCTTCAAATCTAAATTTCATGTATATGCATTACAAGAATATCACACGAAAAAAAAATAAAAAATTTGCCGACACAGCAAATTGTTAGTTACTATGGGAACAACAGAAAGATTTGTTACAGGGAAAAAATAATTTTGCTGTTGTTATGACAGCGATTTAATTGTCACAACCAAATTAGTTTACTATTTATATATCGAGCAAATAACAATTAATACTCTTAACAAATCTTTTTGCTATCGAAATTTTTTTGCTTGTCCCTACAATAACTAACGATTTGCTTTGGCGCATAAACGTTATCAGATAAAAGTCAAGATTCATCGTTTCCGATGTTATCTTTGATCGCTCAGC